ACACACACACACACACACACACACACACACACACACACACACACACACACACACACACACACACACACACACACACACACCTCCCTTACTCTCTCTCCTGAATGAATTTATTTCTCAAGCACTCGATTGGTAATGCTCCTCTCTTCTCCCTCTCACACATTCTGCTTCCCTCAGCTGTGGCGAGCATTTAGCATAAGCTTACAGAGGAAGTGTGGAGTCTGTGGGATCTTTCATCTGATTCCGGCATGAGGCCAATCCTACACTGATCCTACATCATCGTGAGGCTTTTGCCAAAAGCCGAAGAGGATGTGTGCATCATCCCGTGTGTGTAAAACGGAGAACGTGTAGGAGTTCTCGGTCGGCTCTGCTTGCCTGTTTATTTCACACACTGATGTACGGAGGTGCAACACGACTGTGCCACCCTTGAGGCGACTAACTCGCCATTCCCAACCCCATCCCAAGTCTGTAGAAAAAATAAACAGCTGGAGCTGTGAGTTGTTTCGGACTCTGCTTTCTGTCCCAACATCAGGATTCAAACTGTAGTCAAGCGACCAAATACATTTCAACAAAACCACAATAAATCTGGATATATCTATCCCAGGTTTCCACCAGCAAACAGCAGACTAATTAGTCATTTCCTCTCAGGTCATATAAGCTGAAGGTGCTTACAGTCCAGCTGAGTTAGTGCTTCTACAGTAGGATTAAAAGTTCTATATTATATATTTATTATATAATTATATTACTCGAGAAAACAGGTAAAGTAGGGGATCCAACTACCAGACCAAGAAATGATAAAATAATAAAAACCTTTCTTAAAAGAAACAACCTTTTTTTTTACACGCACTACACACAAAAAGTTTGAGATATTTGGCAAGGTTTTTCTGTTAGGTGTTGTCTTGGTATCGTGATGTCAAAATGTGAACAGCAGGAGGATGTAAGTTGTGTAAAAAGTGAAACATTGAACTGTTGGATATGAGCGTTTAAAAGTTTAGAGAAGGTCACATTGAGTTCACCTGTAAAGGTTATACTGCATTTTCCAAAAATCCCTTACTTACTAATATTTTATTTAAAAACATGACCAATTTGGTTAGTGGTAAGAAAACTAAAACTGAGCAATTGCACTTTCTTTAAATAAAAAGATTATTTGGAATTTAATGGCAGAAACACACTTTGAAAAGTTGGGATGGGGTAATAAAAGGCAGACAAAGCAATAGCGGAAGGAGCATTTTGCCACTAGTTAAGCCAGGGGTGTCAAACTCCTGTCCTCGAGGGCCGCTATCCTGCATGTTTTAGAGGTTTTCTTGCTCCAACACACCAGATTTTGATCGCTGGGTAATTAACAGGCTTCTGCCCAATYTGAAGAGTTAATTCAATCACTGAATCAGGTGTGTTGGAGCTGGAAAACCTCTAAAACATGCAGGATAGCGGCCCTCGAGGACTGGAGTTTGACACCCCTGAGTTAAGCTATTAAGTAACTTATCTACAGTTCATAATATCATTGATTTGAAGAATATGAAAAAATCTCTGAGCTGAAAGGGCAAAGAAAAAAGTCATTATTGGCTGCCTGAGAGCTTTTGGGCCCTCAGGCAGCGCTGCATTCAAAATAGGTCTAACACTGTTTTAGACAGCACTGCAGGGGCTCGAGAACACCTCCACAAATCCTGTAAAACAATAAATGCAGGATAAAGCTCTATCATGCAAAGAGGAAGCCATGTGTAAACACCCTCCAGAAACATTGCTATCTTCTCTGGCTCTAAGCTCGTTTAAAATAATCTGAAATAAAGTGAGGTTCTGGGGTCAGCCAAGTAAAAATTAGATATTTAGAAACCTGCCATGTCCTCCATTACAAAGAGGTCCACTACCAGAGTAGCTTGGTTCGAGTGGACATGGTCACGTGACTAGTGTTCTAAAAATAGCCCAAGAGGAGGTTCCCACTGACATCATACATTATGTTCAAATGTTTGTATGAACAGATATTTCAGGCTGAAAAATAGCAATGAAAGCAGTTACTAAGATAATACTGATACAGTGAAATATTGCAAAGTTTCATTTCCTGATACTGATTCTCAAAAGCACTGCGTCGATTTCTAATTAAGGCTTAATTGATGGGTGCTGTAATAAGAAACATGAAATACAAAGTTCAGTGTTCTTCTGACTAAAATAAAAATAAACTGAATTTAATCAGATTGATTGACTTTATCGTGTATCTGTGAGGGTTTACTGCAGACAGCATACAGTATGTGTGTGTTTGTGTGCACCTTCAGGCCTTCAGAAGGTGAGCAGCCAATCAGGAACAGGTTGTTCCTGTGTGTGTCTGTTTGAGGCCAYGGCCACAGCTCCTCGCTGGCTTCATCCAGGTTCCACCAGCAGAGCGCCACATCCTGGAGACGGTTGAGACACACACGTCGGTGGCGCTTACGACTACACCCACYCAACTCTGCGCACACCACCTGAAAATTGAAACACACGCACACACAAAACACACATGCACTTAAAAGAGGTCAGAAGACAGAAACCTTCGGAATCAAAACAAATCTTAAGGGGAAGTTATTAGTGTATCTTAATGATTAATCCATTTGGATTCACGCTCCTGGCCTGAGTCGTCACCTCCGGGCTCGGACGCCTCCGCGGTTCCTGCCCCAGATGTACCTCTTTGTCCTTCCCCCGTTCTGTTTTTCTTGATGTCTAAGGTTGTTTTTCATCTTCTATTATTAATGTCTGCGTGCGTTTTGTTCTGTCGGGCTTGTTGTTTTAGTGATGTGCATATTTTTGGGAAGGTCCGCCACGCTCTACGGGCCACAACAAAGAGATGCACAGTAATGAGCTCTCGTGGTGCTCGAGGGGGGTGGGGGAATGGGGGGGGGAACACACACACACACACACACACACACACACACACACACACACACACACACACACACACACA